CAAATCGCTGAAGTTAGAAAATCTGAACTTTTGCAGCTCATCGCGCCGCGTCAACCAATCAGAGAGACTCCACTGTGTGACGTAGCGVCATATTTCCCAACGGGACAGTTTACTGAATGATGTCCACTAACCTGAAACAGATGGAGAGGAGCTCTTTAGCTGAAATCGTGCCTGCAGTCAGTGTCCTGGTCCGCACCAAATCGTGGCAGCGACTCATCAGACTGGAAAAATAGTCCTGAAAGCGAGCTGTGAGCCTCTACTCTGAATTATCTGGTGAATTAATTATGAATGAATTATCTGATGAACGTGACATGCCGTTGCTCTGTAAATAAAGCAAAGCCACTTCCTCATCTGACATTAAACAGAGCCCGACAGAGGAGGGAGGGGCGGGGAGTCTCTTCCCGTGCAGCGCTTCAAAAGCTGACCTGCGTCTGACCTCAAAGTGCACAAGCGACCAACTTCAGCATTGGCTGCGATTTTGAAGCTGAAATCGCGTTCGGTGTGAACGCAGCATTAGACCTTGTTCCTGATTTTACAAACTGAAATAACTCTGACTTCTGTCTTCTACAACAAAGATCCTTACTGCTCAAAAATACTGTATACAACACCTCTTGAAAATGTATTATTCCTTTATAGGTTTATCAGCAAGGTATTGTTTAATTTATTTTCTGGAGAAAAGTACAAATATAATGATGATAATTATAATATTTATCTGCACACAAGCCAATTTTTCACCAAAACAAACTGACACAGATTTACAGTGCATGTGGATTTTTTCCTTTAATAAGTTTGAGGGTATATACCACTTTGAGGAGGAGCACAGATCCAGGAAAGTTGAGGTTCTTTTTGAAGTTCTTGATCACGGCCGTTTGAACGATCTCTCCGCCGCATTCCACAATCAAACTGGGGGAGGACACGGTCGCCAGCTGGAAGCTCTTCATGTTCCTCAGACCCCAAGTCAAAACCTGGAACAAGGTGAAAGGGAAGGAGAGAATCGCAAACACGTGACCCGGTTTTTGTTGGGCTTGATTGTGCCTGCGAGCGTCAAATTTGAGGAGGAAGTTTATAGGTGACGGTGGAGGAAGTGAACAATTGCATTGTGTACCTCGATTGCAGTTTGCTGCACTACAGGCCGGATCCCCTGAGGAACCATGTAAAGCTTCTCCCCCCGTCGAGGCGGCACCAGAGGCAGGTCTCCATCACTCACCTGTGGCACGAGAACACAGTTGACTCCTTCATGTACTTAAACCGCTGTCAGTCCATCCGCCATCTTTAAGCTCTACCTTGTCTTTTAGTAGAAGCTCTGCAGCTAGAAGCACCTCTCCAGCACTGCGGCCCTTTTTGGTGACTGGGAACCACAGCAGCTTCGGACTGACAGCCACACTGGGATTCAGTTTGACCAGAGGAGGACAAGCGCAGCGGCCCATGGGCTCATCCTTGCCCTGGTTTGTGAAAGTAACACACAAAAAAAAGTCTTGTTATACACTATTTGTTGCTTAATTAAGTGTGTGAATCAGCTTGTTAAAATAACACACCACTTGATCGCTGTCGTAGAGCTCCAGGACTACATCTGGAGGGTTACAGGCCAGAGTTTTTGGGTCTCCGAAGATTTCAATGTCCTCAAAGATGAGGGTCTGGTCCCACGTGGGGTTCAGGGTGGTCCTTATGACCTCAGTGGTTTTACTGATGTGCAGAAACGACACGTGGGCATAGGGATCTGGACGGGACGAGAGCGTTCTTTTTTATTAGCTCCGACATCTTGACTTATTTCACTTTTTGGTACTTTTATTTTGTCACCTTACAATGTCAATTTGTTTTCACCTGAGAAACTGTCTTTGTCCATCGCACAGAGGTTTCTCCCTTGATAAACGTACACCCTAAGATGGTAAATGTACGACCCTGGAGGGGGAAGATTTTGATCAACATGCTTTATTACAAAATAAGCTCAAGGCACCAAAAAAAACCTGTCCTTATGCCAATGTTTATTGACTTTTTGATAACAATGTTATCTACTGTTATAAGCAGCAGGAAGAGCCTTTAATCAGCATTGATTTTCAGAAAGGGACTTTTATGCGACCCTGGCTACTCACGGCTAAAGTGGCAGGAAACAGTGGGGGTGTTGGCACCAAATAGTTTAGCTGCATCCGTTTTGCTGGTCTTCTCATCAACATCAACCCCCTGATAACAAAAACAAAGGGACTGATTATAAAAAAAGGTCCTTAAAGAGATCCCTGATCAGTTGTAACATTAGATTTTATTTGATAAACATTTATTTTAACCATAAAATAAAGACAGTAAAAATACTGCAGCTGTTCAGTTTTGTTTATATTTTAAATATACTGTATTTTAACACAGACGGAGCCATTTTATTTACACACAAAGCATTGTGGGTAAATGATGACGTGGATAGGTCCTTGGTGTGAGCGAGCTATATCCACCCTGAAGGTTAATCTTGGACAATATCTGA